TTACTCCCACAGATAATAAATCCTGATAGGGTATCCAACTTCCTTAGTATAGCCTCGCTGTAGAAGGGAATTAAATCTGAGAAGAAGACACATCTTTGTTTTATGACCATATCTATTTTTGTGTATTTACTGAATTAATTTCTATACGAATAAAAGCGGTTTGTTTGTAGTAAAGTTCTAGATGATAATAACAACCTTTCCGAATAAATCAATTTTCGTAGCAGTTCAAATAGCAGCGACTTAAATAAACCAGTCGAATTTCTTTTATTTACCAATGAGATTATTAGTAAAAACTTCATCGGAACATACAACTTTATCTTACTTATTATAAAACGCAGATTGCGCGTGTGTGTGTGTGTCTGTACGTTTATATATTGGATCAGATTTCCTACATTTTTCAACCGATTTCAACAAAACTTCACAGGACTGTGTAAAATTACCTTGCGGTGGTTCTGACAGCGCCAAAAATTGGAAAAACACAATTGTTTTTGCACGAAATCAATTTGAAAACACGATAAAACACGATTCTGTCACCAGAATGAAAGGGGGACAACTCATATCGAGTTATACTTATTATAAAACCCAGGTTATTTGTGTGCGTGTGTGTTTGTGTGTGTGTTTGTGTTCGTTTATATATGGGATCGGATTTCCTACATTTTTCAACTGATTTCAACAAAACTTCACTTTTTTTTGGCAGGTAGTGTTTCTTATTGTCTTGCACACTTTTTTCTTTATTTTTACATTCAGAATGCTTTAAAAATTCCATTTACAAGACAATTGTTTATAATAAAATTCTATTCAATCGATAGACTCATAACGATTGAAAACAATGTTTTTGTTTGAGTTTGGGTTTGACCAATGCGTGTCCGTCAGCCTTAAACAATAATCTTTGTCAATTTTATTTTTCAATATTTATGATGGTTGATACTTGATCTATCTCTTACTGTTACATCCCCAGGCAACCCCGGGCTCTACTGCTAGTAAGAAATAAAAATAAGAGTTTCTTGTACTTAGTAGGGAAAATAGCCAAAGGGGTTAAAGCAGTACTTCGTGAATTCGGTGGCATAGTAAATGGGATTTCAATCTCTGGGTTGGGTATTGTTTAGTTGCAAAAAAAGGAGGTTTAGCAATAACTAAGCACTACTAGAATTGAGAACTAGACATGGGCAATGGAGCGAGAACAATTTGCCCCCGTAGATTAAATATATTTCACTTCACTTCTTTGAGTCTTACACGGATCGACATACATCTGATGAAGTCCGGCACAAGGGTCGAAATATTGCAAAAACAACGACAAAGATGGGAACAATTCCAACAGAGTAAATAATGATAACTTCTCATACCAGAAATTCAAACCAAAAAATGGCAATTTACATAAAAGTTTTCTCTGGGCATGGAGCTATTGATCCTGTAGGCTACCCCCACATAGCATAGCCGGTTTTGCCAAGAGGTTGATAGAGGTGCTGTCAAATAGTTATAAAAAAAGGTGACACTTCCTTGTCATTCTCTCTCTTTTTTTTTTTTTTTTTTTTTGCCACTCAGCATGCTGGAGTGAGAACGGCAACCGGAAATCTCTCCCGGCCATGGAGATATCTTTCCCATTAGTGAATGAACTTTTTCACAAGGACACACAGACACAAACATCACACGTGCGCTTGCGTGTGTATAACCGATTTCTAACTTGCAAACTCTTCGTTCTTCTGCGTGTATAATCGTGTATTTTCTCAAAAGCAAAATATAAACAGTCCTGGGTATGACAATTAAGTATACAGCTAGCAAGGTCTCTGATCAGGAGATTGGAGATTTTGAGGAACTTGGAACCACCTCTTAACTGCTGTTGTCCCTAGGTCCCCAATGAACCTAGACAGTAGAACCTGTTAGGGTCGGAGCTATGGCCAATTACAGAACCACAGAACAAAAATCAAAACGCTAAAAGTATAAGTATAAAAATACATTATTATATTAAAATTACCGGCAGTAAATTTTTATTATAAAATTACTAACAATGAATTTTTAAGGCTGACACTGCCCCGTAGTTGTAGCACCTTTTAGAGTCCAAGCTTTGGCCAAATAGCGAACTTTCAAATAAAAATCAAAACACTAAAACAGTATAAAAACACATATTTATAATAAAAGAAACTGGTAGTACATTTTTATTAAAAAATTACTAACAATACATTTATATGGTAAAATTACCAGCAATACAGTTTTATAGTAAAATTACCAACCATAGGTTTTATAGCAAAATGTCCAACAATATATATTATAGGAAAATTACCAACCATATATTTTATAATAAAAAGACCAACAATACATTTTCATAGAAAAATGACAATCAATAGATTTTATAATGCAACATTGCATACATTGAAAAAAATTATGATTAATCTCATTTTTTTTAAAGAGAAACAAGTTTTCATTCACCGTTTGATTTTGTAAGATTATTTAGTAAAAAAAACAGCTAACTAATTATAATTACGATTTGATCATGAAATAATGACATTCTGTTGAAATAATAATAGTTTGACTTTCTTTGTTATATTTCCTTTAATATGTTGCTAAACAAATACAACCAAACTAAACCAAAATATAAAATACCTCCCTTGTTGAAATTGCCTTACACCCGTTATTTACATGTGCAAAATATTGACGACAGCGTTTTGAGTCAAACTAGATGTAGTGCTGCAACATTTTATCCATTTATATACACTAAAATATATTACAACATCTAACGAGAATAGAGAGGTTTTTTGCGTTTGTTTCTTTTTTTTCCGATATCCCATATCCTTCGTTCCAATAATAACCAATCAAAATTTTTAAACTGTTCAATAAAGTCAGTCATAACAGTTACTTTGACGTCTTTTTATTTTATACACTTTGTTATAGTGGAACACACCTTTTCTATAGTTAGTAGACTCTCCCACCTATAATAAGTAGGAGTGGTAAGAGTAACAAGCCAGTCGCGGAGTTGTTCAGTCAGTCGATGTCGGACGACTGTTAGTCGGATATTAAAGTATCAGCCACCACAATTAGATTACTGCGTCATTACCTATTATATCAAGTTCCTAATGTTTTGTACGTCGAACCTATTTTAGGACCGACTTAGTACAAATAAAAGCTTCCACTATGTAACCACTCTACAACAACCTTGTATTTCAGGACATAAGTGATCATGGCTCTCCACAATTTCCTATAACTTGCAGCTATAAGCAACGTCTTAAAAGTTACCATCGCACTTTATTCACCGCTCTGCTAACCATTCACATAAACTCATTATGTATATTTTAACATAGAAACTGTAAGAATAACATGATATAAATTCAGCATGCGGTACGATTTTATGTTTTAATGTTATCAGGGAAGAAATTAAGCACGATGCCTGCCTTTCGATTTCCGATATCTAAGAGAATTATATAAATAAACTCTGCTATATATATTCAGGTGTTCTCAGGCTACAGAGATTAGAGATTCAGCTAACTGAATTAAAAAAATGGTGATATGAATTTATGTGTATTTAACCTTGTTAATTTTATTTCAGTATCTGATATATTTATAGTAAGGATCGGAGTCATTTCTCTTAGGCTCTTTCAATGCATCTAAACTATGATGTAAAGAATTACTACCTCCAATACACAAGTGGTGAACAAAGCCAACATTTGTCGCAAGGCAAATTTCATGGAAGATCCAAGAATGAATAAAAATGACAGGTAGACTCCCAGTCCCTTGATAGCGATATATTGATGTATTAGTTTCTTCTGAAAATTAGGATCGATTTTATTATCACAATTTAGTTATCCACATATATAAAACAAAAAATGCATCCATATTCATGCGTGTTGTGTGTGTGTGTGTATGTGTGCACTCGTGCGTGTATGTGTCCGTGGGTGCGTTTGTGTGTGCGGAGTATTAAATATTTCGAATCGCGTCGATATCTTCCACTTATACTCGGGTAGATGAACGAGTTTTTGATCCTATAAAAGTTGAACAGATACTCTGGTCTGCGGCAGAATTTATAAATACCTGTAATTAAAAACTGATGTTTTACAGATATTGTGTTATAGTTGCAATATATATATATATATATATATATATATATATATATATATATATATATATATATATGTGTGTGTGTGTGTGTGTGTGTGTGTGTGTGTATGCATGCATATATGTGTGTGCTCAACATATATACATATCTATCTATCTATATATATATATACATGTACATATATATATATGTGTGTGTGTGTGTGTGTGTATATGTTCAATATATATATATATATATATATATATATATATATATATATATACATATATGTGTGTGTGTGGGCATGTGCTCGCGTTGAAATTACAGTTTGTACAGTTGGTATGACATTTACCTGATAACGTAACTGTTCGGTTTTCAATTCTCGGTAGTGGATGCACACTGCTGATAAGTCCAAATATAGGACGAAACGGCCGTCCAGTGCTTTCTGTTGAGGTTTCTTTTAGACTCGATGAATTAATTAATTATAATTATCTCATACTTTCCTAATAATATCCATCACGCACACATATACATACATGCCTATATATATATATATATATATATATATATATATATATATATATATATATATATATATATATATATATGCACGAGCCGATGATGATAAGCCGTTGATACGATGAATATGTTGCCGAGACACTGTGGTAATAAAAATATTTGTTTGACTTTTAAATAATGCAAACAACATCACATTTCAGATTTTGCTCATTTTGTTATCTTCCGAAGATTTACGTGTTTTTAATTTTCGCAAACACAGATCGATAGAAACTATAATATATGCTGTTGTTTATACATTGTTACATATACGAGGGTCGATCAATTGATTCATACACTGACAGAGCATTATGTAAATTTTCTTTTTATAATATTCAGTTTTTGATTCTTATTGATCTAGCTATAAGGAGGGAGAGACCGATTTAAATATCTTTAGTTAGTAATCTTTCACTGAAACATGCTATATTAAATTGCAAGAATCGGTAATGTCGATTGAGATCTTTGGCGTGTCAGATAGATAGATAGATAGATAGATAGATAGATAGATAGATAGATAGATAGATAGATAGATAAGCATGTGACCAATTGGGATATCTCGCTGACAAGATAGATAGATAGATAGATAGATAGATAGATAGATAAGCATGTGACCAATGGGGATATCTCGCTGACAAGATAGATAGATAGATAGATAGATAGATAGATAGATAGATAGATAGATAGATAGATAGATTTTGACGCGGAAATATATCTTGTGAGTGACAACTTTTCTAACCCTTCTTTCCTCCTTAGGCGTCCTTGAAATTTCGATACTCTCTTTCTCATCCTAATTATGTCCTTTTTTGTTTCCATTTTCTTTTAAACTTCTCAGTATCCATTTATAGAAACACATATTCTGCTGACACAAGTCTCCTTTTCATCTGCGTTGAATAAAAGGAGTGATATTTCATAGTAGCTCAGCTCATTTTGTTCTGTCTCTATCGAAATGTTTTCTGTTTTTCAATATCGGCATTGATGTCTAGTGCCAACCGTTTTCTAGTCTACATGCCTTCATAATATACGCATATTATTCTCCCTTTGTACAGCCCTACAGCAATCTTATACAGTAAACATGAGTGGCTCTTGAGCCTTGTATTCGGTGAACAATAGAATAGAAAAAGGAATCAATATTATAGAGCATCTAAATAAACCGATGGCTATGATGTAATGTGGTTAACTGCAGAGAATCGTGTGAAATAATACTTTGCTAAAACAAACACAAAATATTCCGTTTGATTTCCTCTTCAAACAATTCTTAGAAGTGCGCCTGATAAATTATTAGGATTTCGAAATCAGATAGACAGATAGTTACACAGACAAAAGAATAGTTCTTTGAAAATTCGAAACCAAAAATAATCAATTTAATTCTTGCATTCTTCGTGACAAGTTCACACAAGACTGACAATTTGTAACAAAAGCCGACACATAACTGGCAATTTTTAAACCAAAAGCTGATTATAATTAAATGGATTGTTAAAAATCATATTAAATCGTAATATGATTCATTCTGTTTGTCACGAAAAAATATATCCCCCCATCGCACTTACCGTACCCCGATTGAAAACTTTAGTCTGTAATCACGACCACAGGTAACATAGTCCCGTGAAGGATGCGTACAAAATGGGCACGGCTATTTTCGTTGTTCGAGTCTTTCAAAGGTATCTAGAACAATATTTTACTTTGTGTACCCGCGGGGAAGATTTATTTGGAGTATTATTTTATTCACTCCAGCAAGACGTGATTTTTTGGATCCAGAAGTTATCTAGATCCGAGCGACATTTTTTTTTTTTAATTCAGTTTTCCTTCTTGAAAGGCGGTTAATTTTTAACAGATGGAACAAACTTTGTTGTTAAACCTATCGAAAATTTATTAATAACAGAATATGAAAGTTGGCTGTTCGATTTCAGGAAATTCTTCTCCCTTTAGGCAACCTTTATTCTGAGGCGATCCTTAGAGAATTCGATGCCCTATCAGAATTCATTACGGACAAACACAATGTTAACAATATAACATTGAAGATGAATGATGGAAAGACAGAAACGAAACTGCCTGAACGCCGAGAGAAGATGAGAAAAAAAAGTAAGAAGAAAATATTAAACGTCAATTGTTCGAACAAAGAATGCATGATTTTCTGCGAGAGGAACGGCCCAAGATGCAAATTACCAATTCTCCTTTATGTGCCGTGTAAGCAACTCCACAACTCCCTCTGTCTTTTAGCTCTTAATAAACATTGTTTTTTTTCTGTTATTTTTCCTAAGCCCTTGTTCCGCCATTCATTTAATCAAGCTCACTAAAATGTTATGCATTGTTATCCACTGTTCCTCTTGCTCTCTATGAGTTTCGTCACTATCAGATTTACTAAGCCCTCATTATGTGCCCAGAAACCTCAACTATAGCTTCCTGATGTTAAGTATTATTTTCATTTTTGTGTCCATTTTCTCCAAAACTTTGTCGTTGCTTCCATGTTCGGTCTATGGTATCCTCAGCACCCTTCTGTAGTACCCCATTTCTGTGGCCTCAAGTCTCCTCTTCATCTGTGAAGGGATTGTTCAGCATTCATTGCAATACAGGAGGATAGTTATCACGTAACCCTTTAGTAGTCCTTTCCTTGTTTCTAGCGAAGTTTTTCAAAGTACTCTGCTTAGTTTTTGAAATGGTGACTTTCTAAACGTAGCTTGGATGTGCCGTAAAGCCAAAAATGTTTATCTAAGCGTATCTTCGATGCGGAAAAAGGCTATTCGTTATTCAGTCGTAATTAATCTAGCGAAAGAAGCTTGCTAACTATTACACCACTTCGAAACTTCCATTAGCTTCTGAGGTTGTTCCTTGGTTATGGCAATGAGCCTTCGGATTTCAGTGTCACACTTTCCTCCCAATGTTAAAACACTTGCTAGATATTTAAATTTTCGCCCTTTTTTTTTTTTAGATTTTTGTATGTCCGATTTAAAATTCGTACTTTAAGCTTATTCTTTTGCTAACAAACACTGCATTCTGTCTTCTTCCGATTGATGTTTAGAGATGCCATAATAATATAATAATAATAATATAATAATAATATAGTATAAACATTTAAATCCCTGGGAGGTTTGTTAACAAAGGAGCGAAATTAGGTCAGGAAACCAATGGCGTACTAGAATAGCGAAAGATGTATTTCTAAAGCTAAACTAAGTATTAAGAAACAAGAAAACTTCGATAGAAAAAAAAGAAAGTAAAATGATTATGTAATATTGGTCCTCCTATATCACAGTTAATGCTGGAGAATCTCATGACAAGTGAAGAAGAAACTGATATGGCTTTCTACAGAGAGTACCGTAGGTTGAACATGTGAATAACAAGAAGATTTTAAGTAAAATAGAAAGAATAAAGGCGTTTATTCTTAGAATCAGTAAAATACTGTGGAAACTTATTGGACGCAAAATAAGGAAAGAAGGAGTTGTGGCCTTGTTAGGACCAGAAATAAAGACACAAAGAGAGGAATTGATTTAAACAAATATATTAACAGAAGCAATAATACAAACATATACAAACGTGAGTGTTACAGCAAGAATGTTCGGTCCGACTCTCAGAGCTGACTGCTGGAAACTTCCCTTTCCAAAAAGGCAGTATCTGCTCCTATTTATTACTGTTAGAGTCATTACAGAAGGTTTAGAGATTTTGATATTCACATGATATACTAAAATAAAAGAGGGTGAGAAGACAATCAGCGAATAATTTACTTAAGGAGTTTATGCAAAAGGAAAGCAGAACGAGGCCCAGGACTGATGGTGAAAGGAAACGATTTACTAAGCGCTAAAAAGGATAGAATGTTGTGGAGAGCCATGATAGTCCAGGTTATGAAGGGAACTGTAACATAACTGAAGAACAAAACGAAGTCGACGAAGGCTGAATGCATTCGTAAAAAAAGAGATCATATTTAAAATAACAAGTATTGACTGAGTAAAATTATATTTCGTTAAGTTTCGTATGTGCTATTGCATTTAATAAATACTCTTATATTTAATTCTTTTTCATCCATTTCACTAGAAGTCGATCAAGCTCCAAAGACGAAAGTGGACAATGGATTTGATAGAATATGAGAGAAAGAAAAGAGAACAATCAAAAACAGGAATTATGAATACAGAAGATAACTAGAGATATTGTATTTTAAATTTTGAAAATGAACGTTTAATAGAGAGCAAGAAGCCAAAAGAGTGCCAGAAGCGAGATGTACAAGAGATAAAAAAAAAAGGTTAGCATATAACTTACAGTGGCATCTGGCCATTTTAGTTGTACAATTCTGAGAGTATTCCGCCAATCTAGTACTGTTTGAAATTCATAAAGTCTTCGTACCAAAGAGAAAAGCTTATCAGAACAAGTAACAAGAAATATGTATAGAAACTTCACAGGTAAGCCATTTACGGCGGTAAAAAAAAAAAGTGACTTGAGATGCCAGGACTGGACCTATAACATTGCAGATTTTTCTTTGTATTTTATCAAGAATCTCTAAATATATAACAGAAGCACCAGACTCTATGTAGCAGCAATATTGAAACCATGGACTTATAGTAGTTTTATATAATATAGTTTCTGGCAAGAAAAGTTTTCTAGCACGACACAGCGAACCAACGTTGCTAGCAGATGACATAGCAATTGATTCAATATAATCTTTCCACTCACTTCATGACAGCGGAAACAGTTAGCGCAAGAATATAAATTCAGTGAAGTTCTTCCAATGTACATATGTATGTCTTGCTAGAAATTTCGCTTACTTTTTTTTCTTTTGTAGGTGCGATGCGTGACTGATGCATGAAGTAGGTAAAAGTAATCGAAATAATATCGAATGTTTTATCGAAGCCGGTAAGACATCAAAAGCCAGTCGGCTCTTCGTCGTTGTTCCTCTGTTCTGTTTATTGATTCCCATGCATTCACATCTTTCCAAATATAACCACTCCCATCAAAACTTGAAAAATCAACATTAACTATTGCATTTGTTGTTGGATCAACGCGTTCCACTTTTAAATTGTTCTTTCTACGAAAATGTGGATCACACCGTTCATCTTTTGGACAGAAATTAAAATCAAAATTTTTTTTTTTCCAAACACAAATTTGCAATATTTCTATCATTATTGACCATCATTGCATATACCCAAAAATATGGGCTCTCCCACAACTACCACAGAGACACTAGTGAGTGTAATTATTCTTTTACAAAATAGTTATTGACGTTATCGTAGATTATGTAATGATATATGATTATGCTCATTAAACGAGATAAGAGTTTGAAGAACGACCCTTTAATGGACTATGACAGCTGAAAGAACGTTGATGGCGTCATTCTTATCTATATCTTATATGTGGTTAATCTTTGTTTTGAGACGATTGACAGCTATGAATAATGTTTTTTTCTTTATCACGCTGACAGAAAAAAAAGGTAATTCAAACTCTATAAAATGGTACCGTAGGAGAAAATATAGAATGTGACAAAGGTGGTTTCGCTAACAACGCAAATTGCTACGAAGCCAAAATATCAACCTGAAAACTCGAGTCAACTACTTAAATAGCGCCAATCCTGTTCAGAAATTACGAAGCATGGAAATGCTTCTTATGATCAATGGGGGGGAAAAAGGCTTTGTTAAAGATTTTCCTTCTTTGAATATTGTGAACTGACGCTACAGAATCTGAAACCAATAAATGTACCAAATAACAGCAACCGCATCACTTGAGGACTAGCAA